GCGCACCTGTGGGACGCGTGCCAGAAGGGGCACACAGAGCCATCTCTGTCGGTGCCCCGAACAGGTCCCCTGCGCATGCGCACACGCCTCCTGCCACCCAGCTGATTGCTGGGTATCTGCCGCGCATGTGCAGGGAGCAAGGGGCGCGTGGGAGGCACATGCACAGAGGTACAGGTTGTGCACGCGGGGGTCGTGTGCACATGCACGGGGGGGGGCGGGGGAGGATTGCCCACGCATTGCATTATGGGCACAGGCACGCGTGTGCACACACACACGCACTTTTGGCATGCGATGACGAAAGGTTGGCCATCAGTGATCTAAGGAGACCCTCCGCCATGCAGGTCACAGTTGTCCCAGAGGTGCTTTTTTTCCAGGAGGCAACTGGACTTTCTGGTTTCTCTTTTTGAGGATGTCTCATTTCTCATCCCAGAAGCTTCTTCCGCTCTGACCAGATGGAGGGAAAGGGAAGGACGGATACTCCTTGCAGGCAGCTGGTCCTTTGCATCTTTTAGAGGGTCCTTGAGGCCACTTGGGGGTTTGTCTGTGTCCTCAGGGTCACCTGAGTGGTGCAAATGGGGGTGGAGCCTTTCTCAGGAAGAGAGAGTTTTAAGCTCGGAAACAATGAGCCAGACTGACAATTCCCCCCATCCTTTTTCCAAGACCCCTGATTCCACCTTACTTATTATCCTCCCCCCCCCCCCCTTTTTGTGCATCCTTCCCAGCAGCTCCCTTCTCGTTCTTCTTCCTCCCTGATGATTTTCATGAACTTTGTTCCTCCTTCTCCTGCCTCCTGAGGTTGCAGGGCTTTTCATGCTGTCTCCTCCTGGGCCACCTTCATGTTTCTTCTGAGTAGCTCCCGATGAAACCCAACCCTCTTTCTCTCTTTTCTTTAGTGCAACACTTCTGCGTGACTTCAGTCTTTGAACTTGTGGTCTGGGACAGTGTTTTTTAAATTCTCCTTTCCCAATGATTAAATCATCTCATCGTATCTTTGTTAATTACAGATGGAGATAAGAAGATGCATGCTCTTGTTCTTTTCTTTTTTGTCAGAGGACCAAATGTCCTGGATGCTTAGGTATCTCATCGCTCCCTTTGTCTCGAGCAGCCCTTCCCTTCTCCTCCTCCTCCTCCTTTCCCCAGGAACTTTCCTTGGCATAGAATCTTTGGCTGGTCTCACCTCTTTCACTTTTCCCCCAGGAAACCGTGTTCCTCTCCAAGGGGAAGTGAAGACCTGGCTTAGGATAGGGTACCAAGAGGTACAAGTCCCGTGGCTTGAAGGGTGCAAGCTCTCATAGCAACTAAGGCGCACCATCCAAGGAGAAGGAATCAAAGAAGCAGCCAGAACAGACTACATAGTGACAGAGTTGGAAGGACGCTTGGAGGTCTTCTAGCCCCACCCTCTGTTTGAGCAGGAGACCCTCTACCATTCCGGACAAATGGCTGACCAACCTCGTCTTAAAAGGCTCCAGGGATGGAGCCCTGAGCAGAGGACTTTTCAGAAGCCATGTGTCCAGGAACAAATAAGACCCTTCCCCTCTCTTTTTCTCTGCCCATTTGTTTAATGATGCATCTTTTGGTGTTCTGTCTCTCCTGTCACCACAAGGTGAGAATCCAAATTTCCAAAGGGAAATACTCAAACAGACAGAAACAGAAGCGACAGAGTTAACTTCCCTTGGCTGAATTCGTCCTTGGCAGTTTTCCCAGAAGCTGCCTACCAAGTTCGATAACGAGCAAGGCAATAAATCAGAAGCAACCGTCACACAGAAAAATTCATCCGAACTGCTAGCTCCAAAAGACAATTTGACCCGAACAGGGATTCAGAGCTAACACGCCTCCTTATATTCCCTGAGGGCCGTGTCAGTCTCTTTTCTTTTTACGTTGTATGTCACGTTTCTGCCTGCATCAGACCAGCATTTCTCGGCTTGATCTTCAGCTAATGACTCCGGCATACTCTCCTGATTATCTGCCAACACCTGAGGCACAATCAGGGAGGAAGTTTCTGGAGAGGAAGACGACTCCGAAACTTCCAACAAAGTAGGCTCAAATCTTAGAGCCAAGTCCTCCTCTTCCTGACTCCCATTTATGTCACTCAACAAGGCAGGCTCAAACCTTAATGCCAGATCTTCCTCATCACTCGAGCCTATGTCTTCTGACAGAGCAGGTTCAAACCTCCGAGTCACAAAATTTTGGCATCTTAAAAAGCCACACATTAATTTCAGTATAAACCTTTGATGACAAAGGCCATTGGCTATTCTCCAAAAACAACTTGGTATTGTACAGATCTCCTTGAGAGAGCGAACTGAGTAACAAACATATTTAATTTCTCTTAAAAGCCTTTTGCCCTAACCTTACAGCAGGAGCAAAGTTGTACTTAATTTTGCATTTTCCGCTGCTACCACCATAGCCAAATAAATGTTGCTGGTTGTGTGGTCAGATCTTCTCTTTACTTCTTACTGAGCTTTAGAAACTGCCTATCTCGGATGTTTTGGGAGAACTTTTAGAAGGCCTGTTTTGGAAGGCTAAATAAATATTTTAATGGACACTGTAATCAGGTGAAATTATTTTGAGTTGTTCTATAATTTGGGTTTTGTTTTGTTTACCATCCAAGATAAATAAATGATAGGAGATATAGAAACATAGCCAAAAAAAAAAACCCTACCCTGGAGAGATTTTCAAGTGGCTGATTGTCAACTGTGTCTCATCATGTTTGCACCATAAACCTTGAGCTCCATAAAGATTCTGTAGTTTGTCTGCAGCAGAAGAGCAGAGCAATGTGGGCATTGTGCTGCAAAGTCCGCTTTTTCCATGTGCTGCAAAGTCAGCTTTTTCCATAACGTAAGAGTAATAATAAGAGCCCGAAAGACCCGGGATCAGCCATCAGCAGTTCCTCCTCCTTTTTTACATCAAACCTGTCGCTCTCCCGGCAGAGGCCGGATTTAGCCAGACCGGCTGTCAGTGACTCCAAAGTCCAAAAGAGCTCGGAATAAGACTGCACCCCAAGCAGGCTGCAGCTGGTCTAAAGTCTTGGGGGACATAAAGGGGTCGTTGCCCCCATGAGTCTTACTTGGGAATCATTTGGAAGTGGGGCAGAAGAGGAGTGGAACCTTTTTGCCCCAGTCAGAATTCTAGCAATAGCCTTTTGTTCCAGGGGACCGATTTAGAGACCTACCATTTAATAGATCGTTGTAGAATGCCACAACCTAGTATACCTTTAATTCAGTTAAGTACATGATACACCTATCTATGAGTTGATAACCCATGGGGCAAAGGATCCATTGCCATTTTGCAAACAAACCCTAAAACATTCGTTGAAGACAGTGGATCAACCTGGAAAGAGTTCTCAAGTATGGGACCTCACCAGAGGGTAACCAGGGCAGAGGCCAATCTGAACATTACGCCTCATGAGAAAAGGCAAACTATGTTTAACCTGAAGATTGAGAGAACTTGCCACAAATATTTCAAGGGCTGTTTCCCTAGGATGAGGAGCAGGAATATCTGTTTCTGAGCAGAAAGAGAAACACAGGCTTTGGCTGCAAATTCCTTTTGACAGTGCAAACCCTTCCTAGTCCTTTGTCCTAGAGATGGACTGAGTGGCTGCACCTGCTTGGGAATGTTTTCTGATCCATTATCCCTTACATCGAATAGACTAGATGATCTCCAGATACTTTCAAGCCAATATGTACTTACTGCAGGCTTCTTTTCTTTCTTGTTCCCTCAATTGGCTCCTTTGTCCCCCTCATATCCTGTTTGAACTTCCACCCATAGAGGGATGCTGTTATGGCTTTGCTTCCACTTAGCCCTTCTAGTTTTGTCCAGGTTTCTCTGTACCTATTTCCTTCTCTAGCCCTCCATAACTTAAAATATTTTTTAAAAAGTCTGCCACTTTCGTACTATATCCTTTTTTCCAGCCCGAGGCTGCCTTGAATTTTCCAAGAGGCAGATTAGAAGTATGAATACGCTGATGGGTGTATTGGTAAGGCGGTTTCAGAGCTGTGCTTTTCTGAAGTAGTGAAGGTGAAGACAATCAGTGCACTAATAAAAGGACCGGATGCACCTTGTGATTTTGTCCTCCATGTCAGAGTAGGAGAAAGAAAGAGACGGTCACGTGTTAATTCAGAGAACTGGCCGGGCCAGGCCAGCCTAGCCCAGATTTCCTGCTGGCATTTTAAGCTGAGAGTTAAAGGAGAAAGAAACACCTGGATCCTTCCAATTGAGGGGTGGGAGTCGTGGGAAGTGCCCAAAGTTCAGGGCTGCCGTTTTTTGGGCTGCCTCTGTGACCAGGCAAGCTAATGTAACCTTTCCAAAGCTGGTACTATATGCTGACCACTGGCTTCCAGGGCCACCTGGGGGTTTATGAATATTCTGTGTCACCAGCCCAGCCAGATGGATAATGTCACCAAAACGGACAATGGCAGTACTATAGCAGCCTCCCTCGGAAAGGTGGGAGTTAATATTATAGTTAGTCTTCCCCCAAATAAGGCCGATCCTCCGTTCTGATTTTTCCTACCTGAGATTTCAGCATGAGGATACCTCGATACCTCGGATACCTATTTCAGCCCTTCTGTAGCCCAGCTTGTGGGGTTTGCCCTCTGCTGTGTACAGAGGTGATGGTGCCTGCTGAGCCTAGCAATGAGCCACGCTCTCCCAACAGGAGCAGAGGCGTGGCAGCCCAAACCTCTCGCTTCCAGCCTTTGCTCAGCCGCTGGAAGTCAGCCGGCTTCTGACGGGCCTCTGCCAGAGGGGTCTTTGGGGGCAGGCACATCACATAGGTGCACCTTGTCCAGTATTCCCAGAAATGGTGGGGAGGCACATCACTCGACACTCCAATCCTTTCTGCTTTCCTTGATTAAAACCCCTTCAGTCTGATGCGATTTGTGTATTGATTGATGCATTGGTGTACATGTGTGTTTTTCATTGCAACCAAATCACCCCACCCCACTTGTTCCAGCTTGTTCCTCTGATCTGTTAATGACAAATTTCACTGTAATTTTTTTTTTAAGGTAAGCAAAAGTACCTCTGTGCCAGCCGAAATGACTGCACCATTGATAAATTCCGAAGGAAAAACTGTCCCTCCTGTCGCCTGAGAAAATGCTACGAAGCAGGGATGACCCTCGGAGGTAAGTCCCGCCACATTTGGCATCTGGTGGGTTCACCAAAATGATGCTCTGCTCTTTGGATGTCCCAGAACCAGTGAAGCCGAAACTCCCACATAATATCACAGGGGAAAGGAGGAAGGTTTATGTCAAGCGTGTATGAGATTAGGGCCATTCACCGATGAGCTCTTGAGACAGTCACAGCTTCTATCAGACGAGTCAGTGAAACAGATCTTCTATGTCTTCATGCAGGAAACAATCCCAGCAGATGAAACTCAAACAAACCTGAGCGTATTACAAAGGCAGGTGTCCATATTCCCCAGCCAAGGGACAAAAAGTTGCTGGAAGAGACATTGCTTTGAGAAATGAGGAGGCAAAAAAAAAGACTGCCTTTAAGAGTAAACTTGCAGTTAGCAATGGTGAAGACTGGGCAAAATAAGAATAAAGAACACAGCACGCATACCTGTCTATCTTTGTATTTCAATAGTGTCTCCTTGTAAACTTGTTTTCTAAGATAAGCAGTCTCCATTGCTATTTCCTGTGTTCACGCCCCTGTTTATCTTGGCTGCCCTTTTCTCCAAGCTGTCTGATAACCTTCTTGAGGTGTGATGAGAACATATGAAGCCTCTTTGGATGGGCTCAGATCAATATTAGATTAGAATAACTTTATTCTCACGTTGAATATACACTAATCAGCATACACTAAAATGAAGTTTCATTGCATGCAGCTCTCAAAGGATCCCCACCTCTAATATATACTACATAAACATGACTAAATAATTAATACAAAATTATGTATATATTATATGACACAGAGAAACAACACAGTCTAATCTGGATATATACATGTATATGGCGAGAAAAACAAATCTTGCGAGTTTTACCAGGCGGATGGCCTAGGGAACAAAGCTGTTCCAGAATCTGGTAGTCCTGCCAGAAATACTTAGAAACCACCTCCCAGAGGGCAGCAACATAAACAGCCCATGAAGTGGTGGTGGGGTCTCTATCAATGCTTTGAGCTCTAAGCTCACAGCGCTTATAAGCAGTATCCTGAATAACAGGAAGCGAGCTTCCTATAATCTCAGTTGTCCTCACCACTCTCTGTATGGACTTTCTATCTGAGGCTCTGCTGCCACTAAACCAAACAGTGATACAGTTTGTTCAAATGCTGTCAATCGTGCCTCTGTAAAAAGTGGCCAGGACAGAAGGAGAGAGATGTGCTCTCCTCATCCGACGCAGGAAATGCAGGCACCGGTTTGCAAACGCTTCGCTAAGGATGACGTGTGGAGAGACCAGTTCAGATTGTTCGCTATCTGCACCCCCAGATACCCCTTAATACTTAATACTCTACGGCTGCAGCCTTGCTACTGAGTGGAATATGACTATGCGGCTCTTTCTAAAACCTTGTGTACCTCCAGTATTCTGACCTTGGAGGTCTCCTAGCCAAACTGCCTGCCCAGTGCAGAAGACCTTTTCCATTCTGGATAAATGATTGTCTAAAAATAGTTGTCTATCTCTAAACCAATCTAGAAAAGGCTACATACAAAAAAAGTATGTGGATTTAAAAAGGCTAATTAGACAGCAAGCTATAGAGGAAAAATTTGCTGTGAGGGACCCCTGGACCCAGTACTGCTTTTACCAAACACACCCACACCCCAGAATGTATGGTGGACTATCAACTTAATCTCATGAGTATTTTAAGTTTCACCTGAAGAAGCAATACTGCCCTAGTAAGCAACCTGTACTCCTGGGAAGATCACTTTTTAATAAGTGAATTATTACCCAGTTGAGTGCTGAGCACCCCAGGGTCCAGCCCTATGGTGCTTTGCTTCTGACAGGAGGCCTTTCCCAGATTCAGGGCTACGAAAGGGAGCTTGTTTCAATTACCATAGTGATTGGGCTTTATTGAGTTTATTGTGTTGATAGAGATGCTGACCTCAGCCTCACTTCCCAGCTGTAGAAATGCTGCCTCTCCCAAACTCCTCTGTATGCAATCCTAGGCTTCCATCTTGCCTCACCGATGCCTGGAGGTTAACATAAAACATGGAGTGATGCAACAGTTTTTATTTCTTTTAATTTAATTTAATTAATACCATCTTGTAATCCTTCCTCTTTCAAGGCAGTTGATCTTAACTCTTCCCAGTTCCCCTCTGTTTCTTTAGCATTTACTTTACTCTTGAGTAACTCTAGGCTCTGCCTGGAGGTGCTTAGAGGAGGCCGTATGTTGATTAAATTTAAAATTTTGTTGCTGATTGTGTCCCACATTAGTGCACTTATGATTTCTGAAGCATTTCATAATTTGGGCCATTAGGTGCTGGAGTAAAATTGAGATGAGTTTAGCCAATTTCACTTTGTAGCCTAAGTATTTATTTCATCTATTTATTTTACTTCAGTAGTCTTATATGCCACTTGAGTCATGCCTGATGCAACAGCAACTTACTGACCTCCTAAAACAGTAATAAGATTAAGAACATAAAAGTAGAATAAAATAACACTGTCTCTAATGTATTTCGTCGGTCATATTCTGTGCTCCAAGGAACAACTGTAACACTTCCAGAGAGATTAAAACGATTCCTTCAGCCCAAAGTCTTGCTGGAATAGTCCAGCCGTAATGGAATTGCAAACAGGGACGGGGCCAGCCTGACATTAAGAAGGGGGCAGTGAACGAGAGGCTGCAACCCCAGAAACCCTGCAAGAGATGTTCCCAAACGATGGGATCTAGAGGGAGCCTTCTCTTCCAGGCCTCATTGGATGGGTAGAGACTGTTGGGAGAATGTGATCCCACCGATAATTGGGATCCGACAGGAAGACCTTTCCTCCCTGTAGGAAAGGTCCACCTCATTCATCTATCAGTTTTTTGAGGGTGATAATAAACATATGGATGAGGGCAAGCCAGTAGATAGCATCTTCTTATATTTCAAAAGCCGTTGATAAAAGTTGCTCATCAAAGACTTCTTAATAAGGAGAACAGCCATGGAATGAAAGCAGATGGTTTTGCAGATAAAGACCTGGCTAAAGAATAGGAATCCTGGGATCTCGTCCTAGGACAGGTGCTTTTTAACACATTTATAAGTGATCTGGAATCCGGCATGGCTAATGGAATAGCCAGCTTTGCTAATGACACTAAGTTGTTCAGGGTAGTAATGACAGTAGAGCATCTCTGCGCATTAGAGGTATTGAAATGGCAGGTGCCATTCAATGTGGGCAAGGGTAAAGTGATGTACATTGGTACCCAAAATCTTAAGTGCTCATACAAATTAATAGGATCAACCAACAATGGCTGATGGGGAAAGTGACCTTGGAGCGATGATCGACAGATGAATGGAGGGGCTGGCACAGTCAGCATTTACTGTTAAAAATAAAAGCCAACGGCATGTTGGGAGTAATAAGAAAGCAGAGACGGCAATATCATAATGTTCTTCTATGAATCAGTGGCATGACCAGATCTGGAATATTGTGTGCAGTTCTGGTAGCTGCTCCTTAAAAAGGAGATAATAGAGCTAGCGAAGGTTCAGAGGAGGACAAGTAAGAGGACGAAGGGGTTGGAGCAGCTTCCCTAGGAAGGAGGCGAATGAAAGGAGACGTGATTGAAATATACAGCATTGGACCTGCGGCGGATTAAATGGGCACACAGAAGCTGTTTTTCTCTTTCCCCAAACGCTAGGCCTAGAGGTCCATTCAGTGAAATTGAATCCAGGGAGGATCAGGACAGCCAAGGACCCCCTTTTCCCCCCCACAATGCATAATTAAACTTTGAAATTCACTATTATGAAATGTTGCACTGGCTCCCAGTTTAGCTGGCTTGAAATATGGGTTGGACCAATTTATGGAGATCATTGGGATTAATGATTATTAGTCTTGATGAAATACAACTAATGGAATAGCAGGGAGATTCGTGGCCTCCCTTACACACTTGTTTGAGCACTATGGGAACAACCTGCTGGACTACATCAGTTAAGGGCCTGATTCAGCAACGTCCTGAGGAGAAGGGTGACCGATGAGCCTGCCCACCAGTTGTTGTTGTTTTGTCAAGCATCTCTCCAAAAAACAGTCCATGGGTTAGTGGGGTAGCTGACAGGCTAGGATGAAGGGGCAGGGAACTTTCTCAGTTTGCTAGGTGAACATCTTCTCAGCTCACACGTCCCCTCCCCCACCACTGGACTGGACTGTTCTAGAACACTTTTCTGACTTCAGTCTTCTGGAAAACTGGCAAACCTGTTTCAAAACAGAAGTCCACTGATCTTCTCAAAATAGCCCATATTCAAGGATGGAGTACATTCCAGAGCATTAATGCTGAGCCAGACAGTAGTACTTCAGGAGTGTGTGTGTGTGTGTGTGTGGGTGTTTAGGTTTATTAACCTGTGTAGCTGTTGATACAAACTTATCCAGAGCAAAATGTGAGCAATCTTCACTTAGTAGATGCGACCTATTCAACATGTCAAATTAAGGAATCCCCTTTCCAGTTGATCAGTGTGACCCTCAAATTGTGGGTTATGGAAATCTCTCCCTTTATGAATTAAGGAAATAAAGGCCCTTTTCCGTGATGGAGGAAGTTCTTCACATAGTTGAATCTCATTCATTACTTGAATTCAAGGTTCAGTTGGATTTCTTAATGAGTCTTGTAATATCCTGCAGAAATACCACTGGGTTCTGGGGGTGGGGGGTGGGGGGGTTCATTGTAAATGTTTTAATTGCTTCTTTAGTTTTGTCTTATGTTGTGGTTCAATTAAAAGTCTCCTTTTGCATAGAAAGTAGACTGCAACGCAATCATTTTAAAACTGACATTTGTCAGTTACAAATCCATCTGGTGGTCATACTGTCTATCCCAATTTTTTTTAGCTTACCAAGAAATAGGCTGTAGTCTACTTTGTCAAATGCTTTATTGAAATCCAGGTATGCATTTCAATGGCCCGCTGATTTTGTGAAAGAATGAAATAGGATTTGTTTAGCATGATATGTTTCTGACAAACCTGTGTTGGCTTCTGGAGGACCAATTTATTTCCTTGATTTTTTTTCTTGTTTTT